GCTCCAAACACAGGCTAATACTTCTCCAGTTACTGCTTTTAAAGCAATGGAGTTGATTTACTAAAACTGGAGAGTGCAAAATCTGGTGCATCTCTGCATAGAAACCAAATCAGCAGATTTTTTTGTCAAAGCCTAATTGAACAAGCTGAAATTAGAAGCTGATTGGCTACCATGCACAGCTTTTGCACTCTCCAGTTTTAGTAAATCGACCCCAATGTATCTGTAGCTCAATAAGGCTGTCTAACAGCAGAATCAAGCTAAGAATTGTTTCCTAATTAAAAGAGTTTAGAACACAAAAAGCTACTTGCAATTATTCTCATAAACAGCTTCCATCTCAGTGATATCCAGAGAAGCTCTGTTAACACAGGGGAAAAAGTGAAGGGATCTTAGTTTCAAGAACAAAGGGCCACTCTACTAAAACTGTATTACTCTGATAGCAGTTGGGGAGGAGCTGCTTGGGTCAAAAAAAACATGCTATTAGGCTTCAAGCAAACTGCTCACATGGTGGTTCTGACAGTGGAGGGTTGCTTCCCTTGCCCAGCTACAACTGCATCATCAGCTGTGACCTTTCTGAGCTGCTGACGGAGCAAATCTGAGGAAAGTATCTTCCCTGAGCATGTCCATGAAGAGGGGAAGTGATGTGAAGGGGATTGAGGACATAGATGAGAAAGGGGGCTGTGATGTGAATGGGAACACTGAAGGGCCATGGACATATTTGGACAATGATGTCAACACTATCCCCACCCTTTTCCTTATATAGCTGATGACAACTTGGTTTTTTTTTTTAATTTTTTTTTTTTTCATATGAGGTATCCCCTTAAAACCTATACCAGACTCAAAGGATCTAGCATGTATTTTGGGGGAGTCTCCCTGCAATGTTTTTTCATTCTTGCTGTTTAATGTGTACAATGGAAAAAATTAAGCAGATTAAATTGCCATCAAATGACATTTGTTGCCAACATCTTTTTAAACAAAATTACACAAACCCCTTCAAAGGTCCCCCAACATACACAGAAGACTCTTGGGTGGGTCTTTGTGGTTTTTTTTTGCATTGGTACATGTTCCCCAGGGCATTTTTTTAAACGCTCTTGCCTATTAGCACATAAACTAGACATTCTTAATTTGTCAGGTTAGGTTACCATTGATTTCAGTGGGGTTCAGTTTCGGCATCCAAACTTCATTGAAGGTTGCACAACGCCTACCAGACTGAACGCTGGGCAGTTCAGCTCATCACTACTTAGTACACTGATGCTGAAGGTGATGGGGATGGAAAGTGGACTGAGTACATTGATGTAAAGGGTGGACTGTGATTTGTTGAGGGGGTGTTTTTTGAAGGAGGCTGAGGACATTGATATGAGGGTGAGGTGACTTGGATGTAAAGGGACAGTTTATGATGCCTAGAGGGGCTGTGATTTCAAGGCGAGGGCTGAGGATACTAGAGTAAAGGGGGGACTGTAATGTGAAGGGGTGCTGTAATGTGATGAGAGAACTGCGATGTGAAGAAAGGACAGTGTTGTAATGGGGTGGCTGTGATGTGAAAATGATCTCATAGCAGAAAAATGAGGTTCAGGCCTCCACTGGAAGAAAATGTTACTGATCCGTAAATTTAAATTTAGTACCCATGCCTTCCACTAATCTGTCCCTATGTATGTTACCAGCAGCACAGCATATGTTTTTCTTATCACAGCTAAGCACATTGTCAATATGAATGGTGGGAACGAACCTGTTATAGTCAGGAGGCTGGGGTATAAAAATGCTCTGTTATTGGTCCTTCAAAGGCCAGGAAGTGCATTATTGGTATTTGGTTGCTATGGTGGTGAAATCATGTATTAGTTTGCAGAATCCTGGAACTGAGAACAGGTTGGGTTTGCCTCAAAACAATGGCCAACCCAAACCCAAATCTCATCCCTAGTTACAAGCATATTAAAAAAGTTTTGGTTTTTTTTTTGCATTAGCGTAATGGATACCATTATTGTGACTGTTTAAATGAATGCCATAGTATGGGAATACAGGTTCATAACACTGTTCAACAGGTAAAAAGTTTTGGGCATAAAATTAGCTAATCTTACATAATTTTGGGGTGCTGAAAACGAAAATGACCCTAAAAAATGTTGATTGGCTCTAGTTTCCATGATATATTCACCCATTTAATGACGTAAGCCATTCAAAATTATGATGCAACTTCAGCTGCATATTGCGCAATTGATACTGGTGACCAATAGAAAATTGCATGTATACTGAGATGATGCAATATTAGCCTTTAATTGCATCACTTCACTGCATAAAAGCTGCAGTATCTGTAGCTGATTGTATTGTTAGTTCGACAGCGTCTTTACATTTCGTTTTATGCTTATATAGGCTACTCAGTAATGCCTCGAACTTGTGTGAATAAAGCAGATAATTTCTGCTATATCTGCGGTGAAATAACTTTTATCTCACAAAAAAGGAGGATAACAGGAATGATTAAGAAAGCCTACAACTTGTATTTTGGCTGCAAGATAGGAGACCAGGACAAGAGCTGGGCACCACATATATGCTGCAATTCTTGTGGGACGGCACTGGAGCAATGGTTGAATGGAAAAAAGGCATCTATGCCTTTCGCTGTGCCAATGATTTGGAGAGAGCCAACAGATCATGTTAGTAATTGTTACTTTTGTATGGTGCCTCCAATTGTAAAAGGGCTAAATAAGAAGAAAAAGTTATCTGTGCACTATCCAAATATTCCATCGGCAATACGTCCAGTTCCTCATGGAGAGGGGCTACCAATTCCTAAAGCACCAGAATCCTTCGTGGTTGAGTCAAGTGAGGAAGAACCTGAAGCGTGTAGTCACGTGCAGTTGTAAGAGATAGCCCTTTCCTCGAATACAAGAGAAAAGCCAAGAGAAGCAAAACCGACACAAACTGAAGACAAAACTAGTGAGAATCCTAAGTATTAAAATGATTCAACTTAGCTTATGGCTATAATTTTTCTTGGTAATCCTATGCAATATATTATGCCATTTAGGCTTTGTTATGTAGTCAATATCACTTGCTTTATATTTGTGGAAAGACATCTATCTATATAATTATTGTGCATTATGTAGTCATTACGCCTATAGTAGAAAACTTTCCGTTTACAGAAAAACTAGAGCCAATTGAAAAATTTCATTGTTATATTTGAACTCAGAATGTGAAATTCATTAAGAAATGGATCCTTTTGTTTCCAAAACTCGCAAAAAATAAAAATTTGTTGAACAGTGTATTATAATAGTCTTCCTATTCACATGTTTGACATTATTGCTTCCTATATACTGTATACTGTATATGTATATTATTAAATCTAATACTTTGTTTCATTAACGTTACAAGCCTTTGTAAATACTGAACGCAATAGTGCTGTTGTGAAATACTTGACATTATGAAATGTCAAGAGCCTTACTTATGTCTTTGTACACCCTTTAAATGCTATTAAATTTTTTGTTATGCATAAACCTTCTGATAAAACATGCCCTATAAACATTCCTTGGTGACAAAACACTGAAACATTCTTCAAATAGAAAATCAGAATTGGGCCTGTTCTATGGATGTCTTACCAATAAAGACAATAAAGGCAATTTACACTTTACTTAATACTGTATATATGCACCGCTGACGGTTTCCGCTCACAATTCAAAAACATAATTAAAGGTCAAGTGTCTTCTGTCTACATTGTTGTTAATGTATGTGTATCCTTGTATATGTTTGTAGTTGGCTATAAATGTTGTAAAGATGTTGGATATGTGCTTGTCCCCCACAATATGGGACAACTTATATTCCTCAAAGTTATAGTGTTAGTTCTCTTCTGTTATTTACTGCATCTGTTGATTCACCCCTCGCAATCCATTAAAATATAGGGACAGTGAACATGTACAGTATGTAGCCTATATTCTTTAAAGTAGATCTAAAGGCAGCATAAAACCTCAGGCCCCAATGGTACCTCCAAGAGTGCTTCTTCACTTTCTTATGTTTAATTAGTTAAAAGCAGCACTAAAATACAGTTAGATTCAATTGTTTACATGCTGCCATGTGACTGCTAACCCTAGGTGCTGGTGATTGGCAAACAGTGATTGTCCGGAAGGGTGTCGTCAGGAGAGTAAGTGGTGTTGCCACTGCAGACTCCATTCACAGTTAGGGAGGGAGGAAAGATCGAGGACCCATGAGCATGGACAGTGAGGGAAAACCCTAAGATCATGCAAAAAAGCTTTGTCAGAGTTGTGAGCATATGGAATAAGGAGATAGCTAGCGTTCATGCATAACAAAGAGGTGGTGAAGTTCCTGGGTGCTGACAAAGCTTGGGGGAAGGAAGTCAACTGCCATATATTGTAAAATTGCGAAGTTGTGGATATTTATTTCCACACCCTCAGGGCAGCCAGTGTTATTTGAGCTGCCATTGGATGGCTTGGATCACAGACACAGAGTACAAAACCAATCCAGTGAGCTTTGTAACTTGTGATTGTTGTGATGACCAATCACAGTGATCACAAATCTAAGCAGTGTACTCAAATAAAAAGGTAATGCAGCGCTAAGAACAATCTATAACAAAATAAATCAAAAAGTGCAATATGTAAAACAAACAGTATAAATGCACATCAATGATAGGTGTGTGTTATCATTTTTAAAAAACTTGCATACCAATTATAGGTGCGTCTTAGACTTGCTAATATATAAATAATGAATGTCGGAGCAATATAATGACAATTGCACATAGATGAAACTAACCAGCTGGTGTTATTAGGTGGCCGCCGGACCTCCGTGATCCGACGACTTGACGTCAACGGCTTGCAGGGGCTCCTCCTTGATGCGTTTCGTACTAAATGTACTTTGTCAAAAGGGGTATGAAGGGGGGCACCTGACAGGTGGGAGGGGCCAGGAGTGCCCATGGGGGAACCCAGAAGAGGAGGATCTGAGCTGCTATATGCAAAACCACTGCACACAGCAGCTAAATATGATGTTGTTTGTTATTTTAAAAAAAAAATAAGCCTTTAACCCCTTGGCACCAGCGCCTCCCGGCCCTTTAAGGGTTTCAGAAGCCGGGAGGCGGGCAGGGTTTTAGGGTCATGTGACAGCGAACCACGGCGGTTACATGATTGGTAAAGGTCATGATCACAAGAGGAGATCGGGACCTTTCAGTAAGTACCAGACATGTGTGCTGGGAGCATGCAGGGCACGCGCTCTCAGCACATTTTTTTTTTATTTTTTTGGTTTATTTAATTTGCAAGCAAATGTGTGGCCCAGACGCCGAGAGGCTGCACATTTGCGTGCGCTCAGCGTGAAGAGGTTAATATCACTTAAAATGAGAGAAAATGTGTTTGCTCCACCTGTAAACCTTTGCATAAAATAAACCATCAAGTGAGATGATTATCTTTCACTGGGCACTATTTCATACTCACTCAAGTTAGTCCAGCTGAAACGGCGTTGCCGTGGTATCAGAAAGGTAGCAGCCCCAGGATCTCAACAGAGTACATAACCACAATCTACCTTTGGGGAATAACTCCCTGGAAGAGACTACTACCATATTCTTTGCTTTTATTTCCACCAAATAGCTTATTTTACCAGTCCAACACGGTCTTCCACACACACCAAAACCTTTAAACCAGGGATTTCACAAGTTCAAATCTCTAATGTTTGCTACATGCTTGATTGTCAAAATGGAGCAATCTTTAGCTCAGAGCACACAGCATGGTTCTTCAATGCTTCTTGCCCAGCTGTTTTCTTCTCCCAAGTGAATTACATCAAAATTCTCACCTACTTTTTGTTAAAACCTAAAATGAATACTATATTTTCAACAATTACACAGAAGAAAAGAGTTTTACATTTGCTTAAAGGAAAATTATATACAGTACATTTCTTGCCATTCTGGCAAACAATAAAGGCTTAAGGTCCACAATTGCTATAATAACTGGATCATTCAAAATACATGCCATTGTTTATTTGACTTATAATTCATTCCTATCTCAAAATTGCAGTATTAACTTAGTATTCAGACGCCGGGAGGCGGGGCGGTTGGGGCGTGGTTTAGGAATCATGTGACGCCGTGATGACGCGTCACGGCGGTCACATGATGGGAAAGGTCCCGATCGAAAGAGAGGACCGGGACCTTTCCGTGAGTACCACACATGTGTGCTGGGAGCGCGCAGGGCGCACGCTCTCAGCACATATGTATTTAGTTACATGGACGCAAATGTGCGGCCGCTCGGCGTCTAGGCCAAGTCGCCGGGAGGCCGCACATTTGTGTGCGGCCAGCGCAAAGGGGTTAAAGAAGAAATTTTTTTAGACGTACAAAGAACTCATCAGTAGTCATGCCTTAGAGTGATTGTAAACCCTCACTTTATAAAAATAACCCATTCAGTTTAGAATAGAAATGAAATGCAAAACATTTGTGAATAGATAGAAAAACATTATAAATACCTTTTTCCTATAAGTGATCACATACCCTCTGTTCTCAGCTGCATATGAGCTGGAGGAGGAGAAACAGCAGCACCCTGATCTTACCAGTGAAAGGCTATAGGAAGGTGGGGGGGGGGCGTGTCAGGACAAGTTTGATCATTGGAGGAGAGCAGGCTGAGTTACCAGCATAGCTAGAAAACTGACCATGGTGTGTTCTCCTGCTTAGTGTGGTCAGTTTTCAATAGTAAAGCAGAGGGGCTAGTAGGAACACCAAAGGAAGCAATACAAGATGAATAGGACAGGAAGCTGAAATACATAAACTCAAAACATAAAGACCAACTATGAATCAGTTGTTTTCTGAAGGTCACAGCAAAATATAATGGTGACAAGTGAGTAAAATAGCACATTTAATATTTATTAACCCCTTCACGCCAGCTCCTCCCGGCCCTTTAAGAGGGGTTTCTGACGCTGGGAGGTGGGGCAGGGTTAAGGGTCATGTGACCGCCGTGATTGGCTGTCACAGCAGTCACATGATCAGAAAGGTCCCGATCGCAAGGAGAGATCGGGACCTTTTCATGGGACGCTGACATATGTGCTGGGAGCGCTCAGGGTACGCGCTCTCAGCAAAATGTTATCCAGGTGTGAAGAAATGCTATAAAGTAAGAATGCTTTCAAAAATATATATTTAAATGTTTATTTTTTATCAATTTACAAAATGCTAAGTGAGCAAACAGAAGAAAATTCTAAATCAAATCAATATCTGGTGTGTCTACCCTTTGGCTTCAAACCAGCATCAGTTCTTACACTTGCACACTTTGTACACTTGAACAAAGTCAGGGATTTTTGGATTAGAATCAGGTGCATAATATACCAATTACCAAGCAGGTGCCAATGATCATCAATTTCATGTGTAAGTTGAAACAGTCATTAAGTGAAACAGATACAGCTGTGTAGGAGGCTTAAACCTGTGTGAGAAATAACCAAACTCTGCTTCTAAGGTAAGGTTGTGGAAGACAGATTCATGTCACAGGCCATACAGCAAGGCAAGTCTAAGCACAGCAGCAAGACACAAGGTAGTTAAACTGCATCTAACTGCATCTAACTGCATCCATTCTGGAATGCCTGTACCCTATGATTAAGTGCTCAGGGGAAGGGGCCACAGCATCCAGACGTCACGCCGCGCCCCCCCAGCAGCCATCTTACCTTCATGGTCAGAGGTTTTTATTCTCCTTGTTTGTACCTTATTTGGAATAAACACCCCATTTGAATACAGTATCACGCTATGTGGCATTATTCTTGAGCTTTCTGTGAGTTTCACCACTCGCAGACGCCTTTTTAGAAGTATCCCGAGGCAGTGATACTGTTGTGAGGGTTCTTGAAGAGAACGGGAGCTAAAACCTGACCTACCTGTGAATGAGTGATCTGGCTGACCGGTTGAGACTAATAGTGATCTCAAAGGCGCATTTATTACGCACTTGTGGTGAGTGCGCAATTTATTTTTTTTTTATTTTTAGTCACATCACTTATCACTCCAGATATAGAAGAATAGAGCACTTTAAGTCAACACCTGCTACGACTCTCAAGTTGTCACCTGGACTTTTGATATGTTTTCCACTTCAACCACCCATCTGTGGTTTTATCAGTTGTTTTTTTTTTTGCACTTTATATGCATATAATTGATGTATTCATTGTGGCAATATTTGTATCTTTCTGCACTCTATATTTATCAAGTTGCATTATCATAATAGCTCATTAAGAATTCTCTACATATTTGTTTCTACAGCGCTGCACTGCACTTTATGATTATTTGTTCTTGGAGGTTTTATGGTACCTTTTTGTGTCCTAGCAGCTGTATAGCATATTAGCGCTCGCTCAAATTTACCTTACTTATCTCTTCTTAGTGACAATTGCTGTATGTTTGGGGTCATTGTCCTGCTGAAGAATAAATTTGGGGCCAATCACAGTGTATATTCAGTGTAAAGAGAAACAAGGAGGCCCGGAAGTTATGGTTTGGCTCCCTCAAAGCCCTGACTTCAGCAGCATCAAGTCTATCTTGGATTACATGAAGACAGAAGGGTCTGAGGCAGTCTACATCCACAGAAGACCTGTGGTTAGTTTTCCAACATGTTTGGAACAACCTACTTGCCAAGTTCTTTCAAAAGCGGTGTGCAAGTGTGTCTAGAATTCTTAATTAACAGCATTTTGTTCACACCTGCCTAACACTTTTGCACAGTACTGTTGCAGTATATATATATATATATATATATATATATATATATATATATATATATATAGAGAGAGAGAGAGAGCACTACCCCTGAAAGAACCGCTTGTATGTTTTCCACAGGCCCCCCTTGCTTCGCCTTGCAGCCTTGTAACCAGGCACACACACACTCTTTGGCTCATTGTCTTCAATGACTAGTCTAAGGGATGTTTTATTTTAGAAGTTTTATTGTAGAACTGGGTATTGGGATGGGGAATTGTAGTAGGATACTCCAAAATCAGTACTATTTACACTGAGGATATCTAGCTGATCTCTTAGTTGAACACTTATGAAGTTTTGGCTGACAGTAGATAGCAGACTTCCCTTTACTTTGTAGCAACGAGTAGTTTAGGAGTGAGCAAAGTTCCTTGGCAGAAGCAACAATCGAGCAAGCTCTTCAGAACACTAGGCAGCGTTCCCTTTCCTTTTTAGACCCATGCTGGCTATCAAGCACCAGAGGGGTAGCAAGCACACAGAGTTTCCAAGATCTCTCAGAGTCTGCACTCACAAGTCCAAGAACAGAACGGTTGCCTCCTTCCAATCTTCCAAGTGACTCTCTCCAGTGATACCAGACAGATCTTTGGCAGATAGCTCCCCTCAGTCAGCTTATTGAAGAACCAGGGTCACTCTCTCTAACTTCAGACCCTCAGGTCGACCCACCTGAGGCCGCATGGTAGCAAGTGCCAGGCGAGGCAAGCCTGCCTCCAGCCTGGCTTGGTGCAATCCACTCCCGGGAAAGACACTGAACCCATGTATTCTCAGAATATAAATACCACTTCCAGCATTCAATGGGGCAACCCTCCCCTGCAATTGTCCAGGGCTGTATCCATATTCATACTGCGCATTTGCCTAGCCCCTACCCATGTTCTGGAAGGTTCTCATAGCTTCCTGAAGGCGAGCAGAACTCCAACAGCACCAGAGCAGCATGAGCAGACCTGAATAATCAATCACAGCACTCTGTTAAGAAACACAGCTATGCTTAGCTTAACTATACAAATCCTAGCACCTAACTAGGAGGGTACTATATATATATATATATATATATATATATATATATATATATATATATATATATATACACACACACACGATGGGGAAAATAATTATTTGATCCCCTGCAGATTTTGTACGTTTGCCCACTTACAAAGAAATGAAGGGTCTATAATTTTTAAAATACGTGCATTTTAAATGATAACAAACAATGGTAAATGAAAACGTGTTTTTTATGTTTTATTGGTTAATATTCTGTCTCTATAATTTAAAATACACCTATGATAAAATTTATAGACCCTTCATTTCTTTGTAAGAGGGCAAACTTACAGAATTTGCAGGGGATTAAATAAATAAATATATATACATTTTTTCATATATGCTTGCCTATTTTAAGTTTTTACAGTTCATTGCTTGCCATGTTTGCACTGGCTTGTCAACCTATGCTGAAATGTAGCAGACAGCAACTAAAATTATACTATTTATGGTTAGACAAGAACAGAACCATGCATATTGGGAAAACCGCAAAGTCTGTGACATCGTTGGTAACTTAGCCATTTTACAGGCACTAGGTCATTTTGAGCATTTGCCTGCTAGCAATATGAGATGTATAATAGAAATAACCCTGGGTCCTGCTGGTTTAGTACTAGCTGTTCTGATTTTATTTTTATCCTGCGGTGGCAGCTGGGTTCATGGCAGCAACTACATATTTTCTAGAATACAGAAATGGGCATTACAGCTACCACAAGTACAACTAATAATTAGGTCTAATGAAGGGACTCTGTAATCGTACAGATATTGCAATTTAGTAATTTCTTGGGTTTTGCTTATGGAAAAGGTTTGTAACATTATATGTTAAATACTATGACATTTTGAGGTAGTGCTTCAGGCTTAACATAAAAATAACCAAATATGTCATTTTTAACCACACGGGATATAGCTATATTACTCAGTTTCATTGAATGTAATTCTTATTTCATTGCAGATGTCATTATATAGATGTACATAGTTGGTGTAATAATGAACATATACTCACATTAGCATCTGAGTTAATTACTATACATTTATTATACCCAAATTTATAATTTTCATAAACATTTTACATTCGATGTAGAAAGTATTAGGTCTCAGTGATGTCATTGCCTTTAGGTCACAGAGCCAGTAGACCATATAATGATTTTTCTCTGGGTCATGTGACCTAACCCTCACACTTTACATTGATATCATTTCTGTTTTTATGAGTTTTTGCTTTGCATATTTACCAACTTGCTCATTGTGTATTAGTTTACTAATTATTATAATTTTTTTTTAAGTGAGCTTCTGCTTTGCTTATGGAGGCAAAACAACAAGTTATCAATTTATTCAAGTTATTCTGTTAGGTTGGTCCTTCCCCTAAACATTTATGCAGCCCACTGCCTTCTCCCTCATCCATAGAAGACAAGGATTTTATTTTAGAGCTTACACAAGGGTAAAGTTACACAGGCCTAGCAATTGGCTTTCAGGCACCCAACACTAAATCACAGAAAGAGGTGGAGAGAGTCACATGCTCAGAATTGCTGTAAATGTCACATTGCTCAAAAAGGAAAGAATTTAATGGAGCTTGAAACTTTGCTCT